TCAGGTTGGGATTGAGACACGTTACTCTTGCTACGTATGTAAAGAAAAACGTATGCTGAGAGGGCGGTGTCTGAAAAGACAAGTTGGGAGAGTTTAAAATAGATTACACTACAAAGTCGTAGTAACGCCCACAATGTAAACTGTGTCATGGAACGTCGTAGCAAGCTGCCTACTATGGTTCTTGTATCCATTCAACTATTCCTGTATACCCGAGTGAATGGGTGAGTAATTGTTATATTTGCAGCAGTAAGAAAAATATCGGTCGTCTAAATCGGTTAGAAATACCACACATAAGTTTAGTCTTGAACTGAAATTTTTCTACAAGCAAAAGAAAACAAAAATACTATTTGTTGAGTGATCAAATGTTCCAAATTGACAAATCGGAACGAGCGATTTCAAGTTATTGGCGAGCATCCTGATAGATTACGTAAAATTCCGATGAATGTAAAATAAAGTGATTCAGACATGAGAAAAAAATTGTTAGGGGATTACCACAGTTAATAAGTTGTCCGTGAGTAAACTTGAATCAGTAGTTCTTGCTCGCACGCCTTTAAAAATGACACACATATCATCTGTAACGAAAAATGCTCTGAAGTCTCTCACGTAATATTTTGCAAGACCCTATTGGTGGGAAGCTTTCTAAATAATTTTGTGTTTTTCCTAGGCCGATTAACGAATACTTGGAACCGCACTGAAAACAACAAGAAGCAAATGCGAAGAAATTAATCGCTTTATGAAAGCTGATGACATAGATACCGTATATATTAGAACAAAGCCAATATTCTAACAGTCGTTTTCGGCTGATTATTAAAATACCAAAGACATGCGTTTCTGGATGACATTAGTAACGGACGAAATTTAGGTACCGCGCCTAATGTCAATCGTCAAATGATATATCTTGAAAATTATAGTCAGTCTTAAAGCATACAAACAAAGACCTAAAAACATGAAGTTATTAAAAACTCAAGGATGCATACAGTATATTTCATTAACGATCATTCGTCCGATCTAACTGGAGTCAGATTTAGGGCCACTAAAAGATAACTATCCAATATCGCAAGTTGATTCATGTTGCAAATGTAAACCATTGAATGGTAGTTTAATGGTTTATAGGTTAAGTGTTTTTGGTGAGACTGAAAGGTCTTAGGTTATATCCTTTGTGTGGAGTCATGGATGTACACTATTGGGTGAGTTCCATATTAGAAGAAACTAACTATCTAGTGATTTGGTTGCCTAACTAAGATCACTGTGTGTGATGTAAGCACTAAAATTCAACTATTGAGATTTCACCTATTCTCAACATTTTTCTATTTCATTTACTTGATCAATTGATAGAAACTTATTTGAAACACTTATTTACATCCTAAAATAAGCACTACTTGCTATATGGAACTAATTTATTGAATATGTCTTATCCTTAATGTCGCTGTTTCTAATAAGTTTTGAAACCTAATGCCTGTCACTACGAAGGTTTAGTTGTTGCCAACTAAAAAACTGAGTCTAGTTAGATATTAACTTGTATAACAGTGATAATATTAATTGTTAATTATAAAGATTCGAGTTTTCTCTTTTTTGACATTCGATACTAAGGTTCTGTCAGACGTCTTCAAAGATTTTTGATGTTTGGTAATAGAAATTTATCTTTGGACTTGTTTACGGACAAAAATCTACTTGTTATATCTTAAGATACTAATTGATATTACGTATTAAATTTACCGATCCGGTTTCGGATTGTAATTTTCCTAAACTTTGCCAATAATACGTTCTCATTTGTAAAGTTAACCTTCAATCAATGTAAGTTACAATCCTATTGGTCCACTGAATTGCAAGTTTTCCTCGATCTCCAGTCTCATATTGAAAAAGAACTCAGTATACAAACCTTCATGATTCATCATAATCCTACATGGCTTTACATACCACTATACCAGATTATATATGATTATAAAATAGAAAATTATTTCAACAGTTGAAATCATGAGTCAATTGAAACTAGACCACGATGGAAAACCCGGAAACATTGGAAGGTCGTTTTGTCCTAGTATGGGACTCCTCATCAGTGCGCATCCACGATACCGCTTCGCCAGATCCAAACACAGGACCTATCAGTCTCGCCCGCGACAGCTTAACCATTAGACCACTGAGCCGGTATCCAACAATGTTGATATCTAACTGAAACTATTGAAATTACTGAAATATCTCTACAAAACCCTTTCTGAAAAAACTATTGTTGTACACAAACCGGTCAAAAAAGTCAGTGAATCAAACAAGCTGTAAATTATTAATTAACAATAATTGGATGTATAGAAATGATTAAAGTCAAACAAAATCTTACAACAAACTGAATATAGAAGTATAATATTCCAATTATTTGGGGGTGTTAATTCTGTCGAAGCGTCTGAGTAACTCCGATTGAGATACGCGCAAAATCGAAGTTCCAAAACAACGATTTGTCTACAAAAGCGGTTCTTTATTAAATAATACACAAAATTTAGTTACAAACCTCAACTTGTTAGGTGTCTGGGGGGTTTAAACGCGTCCTTCAAGTATGAAAATAAAAAAACTTCCTTTAACAGTAACATAAAGAATAATTATAACATACGGTAGTGCAAAAGACAGCTGATAGATGTGTCTAAATTTGACAACAGTTTACGAACAACCGAAACCCGAACCAAGAGCAAACAATATAGAAACTGTTGCGTTTAAACAAATGCACAAAACTGTGGATAACGGCTACAGCGATTAAGATACAGTAATTATAATTATAAATACAATGATGAGTAAAATAAACGTTATACGTATGTGTGAACATTTCAGAATATTACAGTACAACTTGCGTTACAACATAAGTGTGAATATTTTCGGTAATACAACTGCTTACTGAATGTAAATAAGTAGTATAAGACAATATACAAAAGAGTAGAAATAGAACAAGTAGGAACAATGTAAGACAAACTTAACAGGGGGTAATTATACAATAATAATGATCTATTCAATGGTTCTTGGACTTGTCATTTCTCCAATCATTGTTCTCATATACGTCATCAGTAATTTTGTAAATAAACCAAGATCAACTAAAACCTTCTAGTAACCAAAGGAACTGAGTCTTTACAAGAAAAAAACTTTATATTTAATTGTACCGAATAGAAATAACTAAATTAAAACTCATTTGATGTCATGTGATTAAAGATAAAGGATAGAAAAAACGACTTTGAATTAATTTATTGAAGTTCATATTCTAATAAAACAAAGATTCCTTAATCATGAATTCAATCAAAATTGTTTGGCGAGACTGTAATTTATGGACGACCTTTGGACGAATCTTAAGTGACCTTGGAAAATGTTGACCAATCAGCAAACAGTCAGTTTAGAGTAAAAATATGTTATACAAAACCAAGGAAATAAAGTGGATACACTTCTTATACGTGATTCAAAAACTTGTCAAGGTTAGAAAGAGGTTCTGAAATTGTAACGCATGCAGCAGAGGAAATCATCCATATGACTACAGAATAATCGGCCTCTGGAGTCATGATAAAGTCTCTAAAGCTCTTTCAGCCTCAACTACATAGTTTCAATATTGTTTGTGTGCACTCCGGTTGTTGAGTACACAAAATGCTACTTGTGGTTAACGACACGATACACATAACCAAGTCTATGTAGGAGTCTGTACGCTCTCCAATCCTCCTTATATATTGTAGTACCTGGCTGCAGCCAGTGTTACTGGTACTTTTATTATCCAGTTCGCATTAACTGCCATAATTTGCCTCAGTTAGGAATTATATATAGGGTTTTCATCACGAATTGACATCAGCTATAATGCCAGAAATCTATTTAGCCGAATAGATGAAAGGGTTTCGCGTTAAAATCCGAGACCTGTTATCTTATACCTGATTGGTTTATCCACAAATAATAGTGTTGCCATTTTATCTATTATAACCGCTAAATGATCACGTTTTGTATAAAATGATCTGTGAACCGATCGTACCTTAGCCATAAGCACTGAAGTTGGCGCCGTAACTATGAAATCTCTGAAATGCTTCTAATTGGCTGATCCATAAATTAGAGTCTCGCCAATTGTTTTTTTTGCATCTTTGATGTCATTTTCCAGTAGTATATTTACATCTTAAATTATAAATTCAGTATTTTTCCTGGTTATTATCATTTAACATATACTGTGATGTGTATTACGGATGTCGACAGATATAAGTAGTATGTATCATCAACCAGAAGTGAAATGCTTGGAAGCAGAAGGTCAAGAAGATGGAAAAGTAAAGAACGAGAACAAAGAATGATTGTTGTGGAAATGAAGGAACAGTTAAGTTTGAGACGGTTGAATGACATTTTGTATATGAATTATTTACTGTATTATTCTCAGATTTTACTAAGAGATTCTGTGATTTTATGTTTAAATACATTCCATTAGTCCCCACTTGTGTTCTCGTGTACTACAGTACTACAATTTGTTAAAACATTCTCACTAATATATTTTCTTACTGGCTTATACCTTCACAAGTTGAATACTTCCTTGTAGGATGTTTATATGATGAAATAATAAAATATTAATTTTAATCGTTGAGATCATGAGTCAATTAAAGCTCGACCACCATGGAAAACATGGAAACACTGGACGGTCGTTGCGTCCTATTGTGGGACTCTTCAGAAATACACATCGACAATCTCACCCCGCAAGATTCGAACCCAGCACCTATCGTTCTATATCAATGAATATCAATATGAAATAATTAAATCCTAAAAATTATACTTTACTCCTTTTTATATCTTTGAAATCTCTTTCAATTGTTTCTATTGTTCACATTATTAACTACCATATGATAACAAATGATCAATTAAGATACTTTGTCTATCATATTACCTTGCTTATTCCGTATAATCAGATGATTTGTATCCTTTCCAAAGTTCTCTTATATATCTAATGTACTTGTTAAGTACTTTTCAACATAAATCCCTATCACCCCCATTCAATAAACAATCCCTTAGAAACAAAACAATAATAAAGTACAAAATTCATTCTTTGCATATATAAGCAGAACAAAAAAAACACAACACTATGATTACATCATCTTGTAACCAACTTATTGTTTAATCAAAGTGTTCAATAGAAGTGTCATGGATACTTTATATCATCAATTGAATGATTTAAAATGTTTAACAATTAATGATTATTTAAAACAAAATCAAGTATCTAATCAATTAAATATTATTATAACAACACCAGAATTAATGATTTTATTAAGACGATTATCTTATAAATTTGGTATTATTAAAACAGCAAATTATTTGATAGATAATATAAAAAATAATCCATCGAAGTTGAATTTCGCGGATTTAATATCTCAAGGTCATTGCTTATTAAAACAATTACGAGATCAATTTTCAATTGCCAATATAACAAAAAGAAAAGAAAATAATACTGTAAGTTAAATTTAATGATTACTGTTTTGAAAAGATTAAGAATAAAGATTATAATAGAATAGTCTGAATTCATTTCATTACACTTGGTTCTTGTCAGTTGCTTACAACCTGTGATATTTATACGTCACAATTATATAATAGGTTTAAATGACTTACATGAGAGGGTTCGGTTGGAAGTTATATTGAAGATATAGTAGTATAGTGTAGCAACGGTGTAAATAAATTTAATAGTCAGTCAGTCAGTAACAGCGTAGAACTTCATACGTACGTACATCAATTTGAGTTGCCATACCACATTAGCACACAGCTTTCTTCCAACCTACTCCTATACCATTGAACATCGTACATCGAGGAATTTGGTAGTTGGGCACTAGAAAAATCACTGTATTGTAATGTAATTATCTTTAGACATTTTCTATCTTAATAAATAATTTGTCTTTTATACTGTTTCATTTGTGAATATCCTTTAAGTGGACGAGATTCCTCATGAAATATTGTCGTGTACTTTACATAATATGATAGACTGTGTACTGAAATCCATACTCCTTGAACAATTCTTCTTGATTACTTTGTTTTTTGTTGTAGTTCCGAAATAGATTTAATAGTTGAATGATGTAAGTTATCACTTCATGTAGAAGAGTAAACAATAAAATCCATTAAAAACTGAGAGGGTTATTAATTTTCCATTGCCTTGGAGACAAATATTCCTTCGCTGCACCTTAAAATCTTTTCTTTCTTTCTCTTTAAATTCTTTCTTGCGTTTATTACATCGTTGAGTTTTATTTCAACTTTCTTCCAAATTAATAATCTTATTTTATCAACTGAGCTCTATGTACTTTATTTCTATCAATGTTTACTCATTATGTAATCACTTAGTTCTAGCCATTTGTTGTCATAATCACTGTTGTAGAATGTTCTTTCAAATAAGGTATATATTCACAATATTCAATGCATTGCTCGTATATCCTGGGACCACCGAGTAAGTAACGCAATTGTTAGGGAACGGTTACTAGGCAAGGATGGCAAGTCGATTGATGATGTAGTGAAACTTTATCACTTGAAATGACTTGGACACGTGTTACGTATGCCCAACTACTGACTTTCTCGATATGCGATGTTCAATGGTGTAGGAGTAGGTTGGGAGAAAGCTAGAGGTGGCCAAAACAAAACATGACAATAATCCATAAAGTCACTGACAAGTGGACTGTGTCATGTTGGTAGGTGAAGACTACCTGGTTGGAATCTTCGACACTATAACAACTGATGGATAGAAACCCTGAATGACATGAATCAAATTTATTTGCAATGGCGCAGGTGCATCCACTCTTTGTGTTCTCCCAAATTCTAATCTTCTGAATTCTTTATGTCCCTTTATTTCTTCTTTTTGCAAATTGACATCACTGGATTATACTCCTTGACTAACATCTTCAAACCCTAATGTTTGCGACTACTGTTTATACTTTTACTACCTTTACCATTATGAGATTCGAATCGCTAATTGTATCTGTGTGTTAACGTGGTATGGCAGCTCGAATTGATGTACGTACGTACGAAGTTCTACGCTGTTACTAACTGACTACATTTTCTAGTTATTTAACTATAAGATATAAGTTAAGTGGATAAAGGATCAACGTCTGTATACATGATTGATCTATCATCAAATATGATGTCTACTTACAAAGAATTAATGGTTTCCAACTGATCTCTTAGATGGTCTAATTCATGTAAAAAATAATGTACTACCTCCATATTTTTTGAACGATATCATTTCATACAATTTGAAATCACATTTGTGCCCTTAACATTTAAATTAACTATCTTTGTCAAATTGATCATGGCCGTAAACCGACATTTCCAAGATAAATATTGCCAAGAAGATATGGTTTTCAAAGAGAGATAAATGCAGAAGTATTCAGTGAAGGCAGAATGGATAGTCAACTCTAATTACACATTAAACAAAGAATATAAAGACATAGTTCACATGACATAGATTCATTGAAAGTAGTGGCTACATTTTAGCTTCATGAATAAAGTTTGATCAACATCAATAAACGAAAACAAAATCTGATTGATTACTATTCATTGAAAAAGTGAGACATAAATATCTCAGTCCTACAGTAAGTCAGTCACAATCAGAATAGTTCAACGGTAACAACTTAGACTATCAAGTTGGGTAGTACAGATTAGAATTCTTCAGAAAGAATCAATTCTCTTAATAGTTCTGAAAATGGAAGGTTTTAAAGAGAACAAAAATGACAACTGCTATAGAATAAATAAATGGATTCATTTTATATTTCGTTAAGCTCTTATCAACTGCTTACAGGATATTGACAATGCTTATACATAAGTGGGTGATTAATGGATGAATATATATATGTCAGAAGGGGTTTGTGGAGATTTTTAGAAATTTTCACAGATTGAAATCATGAGTCAGTTGAAGCTAGACCACCATTGAAAACCTGGATGCTCACTGCTGAGGAGTCCCATACTAGGACGAAACGGCCGTCCAGTGCTTCCAGGTTTTCAATGGCGGTCTAGCTTCAACTGACTTATGATTTCAATCTGTGAATATATATATTTATCAATTCTCTTAATAGTTCTGAAAATGGAAGGTTTTAAGGAGAACAAGAATGAAGATTGCTACAGAATAATAAATGGATTCATTTTATATTTCGTTAAGCTCTTATCAACTGCTTACAGGATATTGACAATACTTATACATAAGTGGGTGATTAATGGATGAATCTGTGTATATCATGATGTAGCCAAGATTTCAATAAAGTTTAATAAGGTCATTAGAAATTGTTTGCTTCAGATAAGTAAAGCTTGAGAGGGAAAATTCCAGAACATTGAACTAGTGATTAGAACTTATAGAGTTAACAAACATAGGAGGACTATGTAATGAGGCGGCTGGAAACAGATGAATGGTAATAAAGAAACTATATGAATTGAAATCAGTCAGTTATGTATGATGTAATTTCAACTTCAGAAAGAGTTGGAATAATGAATGACGTAAGAAATAAATAAAAAAGGGGAGGGGGAGGTTAGTGTTACCAGGGCAAAGAAACATTTATTACTGTCTCTTTTTAGATGTTTGATTGCTATTGCTTCGATAAATTTCAAAAGGCTAGAGTTTCATTATTTGTTCATCACCTTGAAGGATTTCAGTATATCGACTTCATATCCTGTGTTAAGGAGATGTATTATGATGGCACTGTTGAATGCTTTTAATCTAGTTGATCTTAAACTTTTCAGAATATGTTCTTTGAATTGGACGTGGGCTCTCGTTTGAAGATTCATAGTTCAATATTTTTAATATTTTCACTAAGTGTACTAACTATTACAATCAATAGAGATAATATGCATATTTAGTCATTGAACCTGTCAGTGAATTATCATTATCTTCTGTATTCATTTATCATTACTATTCTGTTTATTTGTCGGTGTATCTGAACATTTTAAACTTTAGTAGTGTTGGCAACAAAATTATATCATACATCTTTTACTTTATTTTTTTTTGTCTTTAAAGCCGGTTAGTTATCATGTGACTTATTCGCCAATTGAAATATGACTTATCAATTCTTAATACTGTGCTAAACCAATGACGTTCAACTGGTATGAACAACCCAGTGTCCTTAGTAGTCTTTTGTTCATGTAGCCCGTCCAACAGAGTCTAGAATTCTAATAACAGCTCCTACTATGCAAATCATTTATTTCAGACAAACTTGGTTTATATACAGCAGTCAAACAGACCGTGTCACACTATAAAGATCTAGACAAAAAGTGGTTGTGAATATGGGAGATAGTAATTGATAGATTGGGCATAACTGAAGCACAGTAAATCGTATAATAATAGTCTATGAGTCCAAATAAAGCTTATAATAAGAGAAATATAGAATATATATATAGTCTAGTTACTAAGCTGTTATATAATATTAGTCCATTAATAGTTCTCAGAAGTTATCCGTAATTTAATCATCACTAGGATATAACAGTCTTAACTACACATCTACATTATCTTGTTGCTAGTGTACAATTAAAAAAAGAAGAAAAATAAGGGGAAAAAATCAATGGGCTGAAGTTTATTTACATCATGACTGCTAGGTTACAACATATGATAAAGAAAACATTCAGATTTCTGATTCTATTTATTGATTATGCATTTAGAAATGTATAGAGCTTTTATTTTGATCATGTGTAATCGTGGAAACCGCAAAAATGTCATTAATCATGTTAAATCTATTAGCGTGGCGTCGAGTCGCGTTTGACTATGATCATCACTACAAGAAAGTTGCGTACCACATATCAGAAGATGATTGGAGGTTGTAGCGAGATATATTTGTTGGCGATCTTGTGGTATCGAAAGAATACCGAGATCATGCCAAAGGAGTACAAGCGGAATCACTGATTAAACGTGAGTTCGTGCAACATCACAATCAACGGAAGGAAGAATGTTTTTAGTACAGTTAAACAAACAGGTACAGTAAAACAATCCCTGGTACAATTGGTTATAATAATAATTGTTTCTATTAAACCAATCGCGTTCTCTTGATAAAAGTAGGTCACTACAAGGTATTTCTAGTTTTAAAATTTAGCATTGCTTCTTTTGTAGCAATTTCAAGTGAAGATTTTCTAGATATTATACCTAATAAATGCTTAAAATCAATAATTAATTATTGGTATCGAGTTCTAGTCCCAGAGTGAACATCAACTCTAAGATACAAGTACATTCAGCTGATGAGTTCTGAATAGGACGAAACACATGTCACATTGGATTCCACTGCTAGCCATCATATATTTTTGTTGATAATACTTGTTACTGAAGGTAATATCGAGGTAATCTGTACAGGATACACACATGCCAATAAGAGACTGATCAATTACAGTTATGTAGTGACCTACTTTTATCAGTATTTCCACTTGTACTCCTTTGGCACGATCTCGGTATTCTTTCGATACCACGAGATCACCAACAAATACATTTCGACTATAGCCACCAA